AAAAAAAAAAAAAAGATAAAAGATGATTATTAAATAGAAGTGCTGAATAAAACAGCAATAAGGTGCAAAGATAGAAGAGTCTCTACAGACAAGAGAAAGAAAGAGTAGATAATTTTTGAGAAAGGAATAAAAGTAGAAAATGAAAAAGTAATTAGAAAAGAGTCTAAATCATTAATTGTAGAGCACTAGCAATTAGTAATTAATGATAATAAGGTCAATACTATATTAAAAAAGTGTAAAGGCTATAATCTAGAAAGGCATAATAGCTAAAACTATATAATTAAGCAGAACATGAAAGTTGGTACTAAGTACTAGAGAAAGTTTATAGAAATAGAGAAGCCTTATATATAAAAATCCTAATTTCAGCTTACAAAAGAGATAGAAAGTTAGGTAGTATAGAAGTTAGTAGAGATTTTAGAGATATAAAAATTAGTATTATAGATATAGAAAAGGCAGTAATACAAAGAGTAGTAAAGGATAAAAAGTTACAAGTAGAACTATATTAGTTAGTTAGAATCATCAAAGAGAAAAAAAAGTTAGATATATACAAACAGTTCACTAGTTATAGAGTTATTAGAGAACAAAAAAAATAAAAAAATAGGTATAGAATAGGTTATAGCAAATGATAGTAATAGCAATTGTAGTATAAGCTTTAGTAGTAGGATACTAAACTAGCCCTTTTTAACTCATGCTAAACTAGATACAATTTAGGCAGCACTATTAGTTGTACTATATAGAATAAATATTCGAATCTTCTCTAATAGTAAAGTAGTAATTGAAAGAATCTAGAACTTATAAGGTTTAACAAATATAAGAAGCAACTTTAAAGCTAAAAATCATAGTTTAATTAACCAAATTCTAAACTGTTGCAAAACAAAGAAAATCAAGCTAGAGCTAATTAAAGTTAAAGAGTATAGCTTAATTATATGGAATGATAAAGTAGATTGTTTAGCGAAAAGAGGTCTTATATCTGATTTTATACTTGAGACTCAAGAAGTAATAACAAGTAAAATAAGAATATTCTCTGTTTAGAAAGAGAAAATAATAGATACTGTACTAAGATTCTTTGTTAACCTAATTATAATAACAATAAATAAGAATATATAAACAAACTTAAATAATATTAAATCAGTACTAAATCAAAGAGCAACAGATTTAAGCAATTCTGATTTGAACTAGAACATTATATGGAATGCATTAAAAAGCTAGCAGAATAAAAGATATACAAGTATTAGAAAGAGTAATATACTAATATTTAGAATTAAATGCTTTAACAAACTTTTATCTACAAAAGATATATGCTATCAAAAGAACTCGTACTGTACAAAAGCAAAACTTGTATTGCCTACTATGCAAAGGTAGAGTACTTAGTAGAATACTTAATATATCAAAGGATTTAAAAAAAAATAGAAATATTTATAATAGAAGAGCTAGAGTATCAGCTTAGTTTGAAATAAAAAATTACAATAAGAAGCCAAATACTTAACAGTGTCTTTTTAGGTTCAAATATAAAAACTAAACTTCAAAAAAGAAAACTCTATATATGAGGACTTATTAATAAAAATCTAGTAGCAGAGGCCAAAGACCTTCTAAGCTCAATCTCTAAAATAAACAAAGTTATCTGCTAGTTTACTGAAATATTCTGATCAAAATTCTTTGAAAGGCTTTAGAAATTTCATTGTGAAGTGATGTTAGAATAGAAGAAAAGAAATAATATCAACAACAAGAAAAAGAAGAAAAAATCTAAATACAACTTTCAAACTAAAATGAAAAAAAAGCAAGCAAATAAAAAAAATCAAGCTCTAATAGAAAAAGAGATTAAAAAATCAGAACAAGATAAAGAAATAAGAATTCAAAAAAAAGCTGAAAGCAAAGTTAAAAGATAGATTGAAAAAAGAAGTAAGGATAGTTAGTTAAGTTTTAAAAACAATTAGGCAATTTTGATATAAACATATAGTAGCCTTCTGTAGATTTTTAGAGTAAGACTCTGTTTAAACATTTTGCTCTTTTGAAAGGAAAATTTGTTATTATAGCAGATCATATCTAGACACTTTAAGTAGCTGAGTGAGTTTGGATTTAAGTCAAAAGGGTAGTTATATAGTTAGTTTTATTTAGTTTATATTTTTGCTATAACATTTTTTATGTTTTCTCTTAATAAATAAAGAACAAGATCATTTAAGAAAAAAAAAAAAATATTAGGCTAATATTTTTCTGATTTTATAAACTATTAACTAATTTTTTAACTAATTTATTAATGTTCTTTTTTTTGTATATTTTTTGCATATCAGCTTTCTATAATAAAAAATTTTAACCTGTATTAGTTACTAGGTTTAGCTAGTAATAACAACTTTTTTTAAATTTATAAAATTGTTAAACCTAATTACTATATTACAATATTTAAAAATATTATCTTTTTTTTTTCATTAAAATTTAATTTTTGTTTTTAATATATAATTATTTAATTTACTTTATTAAAAACTATATAGGTTTTTATTAACTATTTTTTTCTATTTTTTAAAATTAAAAAGCTTTACAATTTTTTGATAAATTTAGAATCTTTTAAATATATTACTATATTTTTTTTAATAATAAATATACTAAAATATTCTTTATTTTTAAAATAAAATACAAAAATATTTTTAAAATAAAAAAATTCTATTAATTTTATACTCTAAATAGAATAGTAAAAAGTTAAATATTTTTGAATAAAATTTATAAAAGTTAAACAAAATTATTAATAATTAGAAAAAAAAAAAATATAAAAAAGATATTAGTTATAAATTTGTTGTTTTTATGTTTTTTATCTTATATGCTTTTAAAACGCTCTTGTAAGTATAAGTTTTTAAACAAAAACTATAACAAAATAATAATTCTATAATAATAAAATTATCTTTGTACGTACGTATTACATATTTATTGTTATATTTTATTATATTAAAGTAATATTAATTACGATTTTATCATATTTAAGTAATATTAATTACGATTTTATCACATTTAGATAATCTACAAATACGCCAAATTCGCCTATACCGATTTGTTAAGATATACCGGTAATCCGGTTGGTAATATTTTCGGGTCAGGTAAGCGGGTTCACGGTTACCCAATCCAGTTACCCGGGTTATAGGTTTGAACCCTAATACAAAAACTTTTAGCATTCCATCTTTTATACTATGAAATTTTTTATATGTATCTTTTAACTGCGAACTACCTCTTAACAGTTAAGATAGTGTATTTTAACAGTTAATATTATTTATATTACACGAAATAGTATTACATCATTACGGTACACAGAATATTGCGTAAATATGTATACAATAGCATGTTTGCTCATGTGATAGAGATTCGTAAGCCAGAAAAATCTTAACAGTTAACTGTTAAGTTCAAACCAATATACAATAGCGATAGTAACGGTAATAAATTTAATTTAAAATAATTCAATTATATTGTTTTACGTACGTATTTAAAAGTATTTGATAAAAATAATTGTTTTGGTATAGTAGTAACTTAAATTAGTAAATATCTTCACTCTATACGTAGCTATTGAATCAATTTAGTTGGTTAATAGTATCTGATATATAACAAGTAATAGATACAGTATTGATTTATTGTTACAGTATGTGCTTTTACAAGATGGATAGTGTGTTAAAATTAAAAATTATTAAATTGTTATAAAAAGAATGTTAATTATAATATTTAAACTAAAAATATATTACCATTACAGGAGTTTTTTTTTATTGTGCTTATTCTATTTCATTCTGTGCTCTGATCTAGCCAAGGGTTGAACCAGGGGCTACGTAGGATGTAAATAGTATAACTTGAAACTCTAGTTTGACATTACGAAAAAAAGGTGCTAGCTTTTCTTAATTGTTCGTTTTAACAGTCCAAACCGGGACAATGTAATACAGGATTTGAATGATGCCAAAAAAAAAAAATAATAAACTAGAAATAGATCAAATTACAAAAAAAAAAAAAACTAGAACTGGTAAACAAATCTCAATCAAATGACAAAAATAAAAAAAAATAAAAAACTTGAACTGGGAGATCAAATGACAAATCAAATGTCACTATCGCTAGTTCCAGATTCAGATGATCTATTTATTCATAATGAGCTGTTTCAATCGGAAGATTATTAATTTTGAGTACTGGAGTAGTTTTATATGCAGTGATTTTTTTTTTTTTTGCACGTACGATAAATGCTGCGGGCTCTTTATGCATAAAAGGAGGTCAGCTGTTGTTGTTGTTATACCTTAATTTAAATGAAAGGTTATCATTATCCTGTCGAATTATTAGATATTTTTATACTGCTTTTTTATTCTCAATTTTTATATTTTTATTTATCAACAAATTCAAAGATTCACTATTAACATCTAACAATAAAGATATGGCTCAAGTCTCAGGTACTTTTTGTGCCTTCATCTATTTTCTTACCGAGATTCTACTTCTCACCTTTTTTCGTTATTAGAGCCTCCTTATAAAACTGAAAAATATATACGCAATGAATCTAATGGTTTCGACGAATACTTCCAGTGAGTGTCTTGTGATATCATTATTTCAACTTAAAGCTCCTCTCTAAACTTTATGTTAAGGTGGGCTAAATATTTGTCAGAGTTTGAAAACATAGATACTTCCGATTTGGATACCACCAATTATTTATATAAATATAATAAATACTTTCATGTCACCGGTATCTAGCTTGTCTTGTCGAGATATTTTAAAGTTTTTATTCTGATCTATTTTTTTGTAACCTTTTTTTTTTTTTTTTTCGCTCTTTTCATGCTATTATTAATTTATTAGAGATCCTGATCAAGAACTGATAAACAACGATACTTCTTTACCAAACGGTTTACGGAGATTACGAAAGGATAGGTCTCCATCAAAAGACGTTAATAACACAAATATCATTAATCGTCTTGAAATTTCCCGATTTTCTGCAGAATCTTTTCATAGTTATAATTTTGTTTCAAGCGATGCCTCTATGTACGAAGATAGGCAAAATATTCTTCGTCGCTCTATTGATTTCATGAAAAGCAAAATAAAAGGATGGAAACTTTTAGATGTACAACAAGCTATACTTTCTTTTGTGGAACCTGTTGGTACATCTACTGACATTGTTCTTCCTCATGAAGAAACAAGTGTTGATGATTCATATGTATCTCGAAAGTTTAAAGGTTCATTGGCTGATATTTCGATATTATGTCAACCTATAAATGCTCCATCTGCTGTACATTCTCCTACAAGATTTACACCACAAAATCAAGCTATTATTACCACTGATAATCAAGGAAATATATTAAATGCAAATGACATTGCTTGTTTGGTATTCTGTTACTCACGAACTGAAATATCGACTATAAAGGCATTTGATTTAATAGCCAGCCCTTATAGAGAAAAGCAAGAAAAATGTCTTGCTTTAAGACCTCAAAATGATCATGATAATTTTGAAGCTGTGTTGGCTTGCGGTAAAGTAGTATGTATTGTTTAAAATTTTGAAATATACGTACTTCTAAAATAAAATTATAATTATTTTTAATATATATATATATATATATATATTTTTTTTTTTTTTTTCTTCTCAATTTTGCAGATTCCGATACAAAGAAAAAATGATGAAACTTCTGCCGCTTCTTTATGGCTTAAATCTAAAAAAGATGATTCAGGAAATTCCATTTTCATTTGGATATTTGAGGAGATTGTTGAATCTATGATGATAGCTGAAATAGATTGCAAGGTATAATATTTATTAGATTTTATGAAAATTTTCATTATACAATTTTATTTAAACTTCTTTTCCCTTAATTAATTAGGGTATAATACATAATTCATCTGGTGACGTAAAAGCTTTGTATGGTTATACCCCTGAAGAAATTATTGATATGAACGTGACCTCTTTAATTCCTGCCTTGGAAATTATCACATCAAATGATATGAATCGTATGGATATTGATGATAAGAGTGACATAGATTCATCAAATACACGACTAGATATTGAACAAATAAACAAAACTAAATATTACGGAAGTCGATCAAAAAACTGTGCAAAGTTTCCAATAATTGGAAAAATATCAATGAAATCATTGCAAGAAAATATGCAAGATCAAGATTCCATTATATATCGACTTAAAATCATATCTATGCCTACTATTGCCGGTGTAATAACTGCTCACGCTACTGGTATCATTCAATCATGTAATTCAGTCTTTGTCAAATACCTATTTGGTGTTGGGTCTCAAGAATTAATCGGTAAACGCCATATTGAATCACTTTTACCGCAATTTCCTCGACTTATTGATATTCTTGCTTCGGAAAGATCTCTTGTTGAAGGTGTTTTAATTTCTGAAAATGCCTTTCGACGTGCTGCTATATCGATCTCTACTATTTCCAAAAATAATTTCCCCATTTCACATACAAAAGACTTTTCTACTACCTCATTATCTACACAAGGTCCTTCTGGTATAATAGCTGTACATAGAGATGGTACTGAATTTGACGTAGACATTCAAATGCGTGTTGTTGAGTCTCCTGATGAACCATTACATGCTTTATGGATTACTTACGATCGTAACGCTAATTTCGCGAAAGAACAATCTTATATTGACAGTGTTGAGAAACTTGTGACTAGTAGGTCTGTAGATGATGAAAATATACAAGAGGAAAAAGAAAATTTTCATATATCTAAATTCATAGCAGCGGGAGGTAAACCTCCTATATCGACGCATATTTCGTCTGATCGGCAAATCATGACGCCTCCTGCAATGTCCCCTGCACCCGTGCCTTTCGATCCAATGTTATATTCTGCAATAACGTTAGGGAAGACAATTGATGATTTTGAAATATTAGATAATCTAGGTCAAGGTGCTTACGGTCAGGTTAAATTAGCGCATAATAAACATGATCCTGAAAAGGTATATTTTATTATTTGTATAATTAAGATTATATTTATAAATATTATACTCACTTTATTCACTAAAACTTTTTTTTTTTTTTCAGAAAAGAGTAGTACTAAAGTATGTCGTGAAGTCTCGAATACTTGTTGATTGTTGGACTCGTGATACAGCTCTCGGCACTGTCCCATTGGAAATTCATATTCTTCATACTCTAAGACGATTTCCTCATCCAAATATTGTACAAATGGGTATGTTTTCAGTACTATTGATATTTACTGATGATATTTACCTAATGTTATATGTTTAATTTATTTATTCATACTTACGTGTAGAGGACTTTTTTGAAGATGACGATTATTATTATATAGAAATGGGGTTACATGGTGCAGGCATGGATCTTTTCGATTACATAGAACTGAATACTACAATGGCTGAGGATGAAATAAAGCTTATTTTCCGTCAAGTTGCA